CTCCCCCGGTTCCCCGTGGCCCCGACTCAAGGAGCTGCACCCAGTTCCTCCTGCCGGGGAGACCCAGCACAGCTTGAAGTCCCAAGCAGTGCAGGGTTTCCTGGGGCACAAGCCACCCAGCCAGAGCGGCGAAGCCGTTCCAGCTCGCACAGCCCAGCGCCCTGTCCAGCCTGTCTGGTCTCGGGGCTCCAACACTGCAGACCTCACCCTCCTCTTCCCCGGGTATGCTCATCTCCTTCTCCCTCTGATGCCTCCCGGCCTCTCCTCCCAAGGACCGAGACTATTCAAGGATGCTGAAGACCCCTCTCGCCTTGTCCTGCTGCAGCCAGGCCTGGCACCGAACCCTGCATTCCCTGTGCCCAGGTGAAGGAGGGAAGTAGGGACACGCGACATTTCATAGCAATCCTAGAGAAGGATCAGCCCCGTCCAAACCAGCCCAGACAAACCCCATGTCTGACCTCTGAGCAACACAACACAGCCGCCCCTGACCCCGCACCTGCCCCTGCCCCAGGGAAAGCAGGGGGACTGCGGCCGCCAACGTCCTGCAGGTCTGAGCATGGCGCAGAGTTCCTTCCTGACCCCAAATTTCAACAGTGCGAATGCACGTAACACAGCAAGATTGCAGCAAACCTTGGAGTCATAGAAAATGAGGTTGGAAGGGACCTCAGGAGGTCACATCTTATCTAACCCCCTGCTGCAAGCAGGACCGGCCCCAACTACATCATCCCAGCCAGGGTTTTGTCTACCCAGGTCTTCAAAACCTCCAAGGATGGAGAGTCCATCATGGCTGGTGCCCAGGCCAGCTCTGATCCCAGCCATCACTCCTGTAAGTGGACGTCGGTGTCAAAGTGCAATTCTGCTCCTCCTTGTCCAGGCTGTTGAACAGCCAGGAATGCACTGACCTCCAGGACACATGTTCCCTGGCCCTGCATCCTGGAGCAAGGAGGATCCTCGCTCCAGACACAGCCAGCATCCATCCCTGCTCCAGATGCAGCTCAGCTCCATCGCTGAGCTCAGGTGGAATACTTTAAAATCCCCATTTGAATGGGAAAATGCAAAACAAGAAACCATCTGCAGGCTAGGTGGTGTTAAGTCCTCCACTGGAGGGTAGGGCTAGGATTCAGACCTTGACACACTGGAGGATTGGACCAAGAGATATCTCAGGAGGTTCAACAAGGACATGTGCAAAGTCCTGCACTGAGGAGGGAGCAATCTCATGCACCAGTGCAGGCTGGGGGCGACGGGCCGGGCAGCAGCTCTGCAGAAAAGGCCCTGGGGGGACAGGGGACACGAAGCTGGACAGGAGCCAGCAGTGTGCCCTTGGTGCCAAGAAGGCAACCGGCATCCTGGGCTGCACTGGTAGGAGCGTTGCCGGCAGATGGAGGGCAGTGATCCTTCCCCTCTATTCAGCACTGGGGAGGCCACATCTGGAGTCCTGTGTCCAGCTGTGGGCCCCACTACAGAAAGGCTGTGGACACATTGGAGACTCCAGTGGAGGGGAATGAAAATGGTTGTGGGGATGGGGGAGAGGACTGGTGAGGAGAGGCTGAGGGACCTGGGCTGATGTAGTCTGGAGAAGAGAAGATGGAGGGGGATTGAATAGCAGCCTTCACCTCCCTGCAGGGGGGCTGCACAGAGGCTGGAGCTGGGCTGTTGTCAGAGATGGCAGAACAAGCAGCAATGGGCTCAAGCTGCAGCAAGGGAAGTTGAGGTTGGATATTAGGACAAACTCTGTCCCAAGGACGGTGGTGAAACACTGGGACAGGTTACCCAGAGAGGTGGTGGACTCTCCATCCTTGGAGGTGTCTAAGACCCAGGTAGACAAAGCCCTGGCTGGGATGATATAGTTAGGGCTGGTGCTGCTTGGAGCAGGGGTTGGACTAGATGTGACCTCCTGAGCTCCCTTCAACCTCATTTTTATGATTCAGCACGCATGGTTTAAACAGGGACTGCGGTTCTTACTCCTTTACCTGGATTAGCTTTTGTGACCCCTTTGCTCCGGGGGCTTCTTTGCTTGTCTGCCCCCTCCCCGTGCCTTCCCAGCTACCCAAGCACGCGCTCCACTCGATGCTCTGCTCCGCGCCATCCTTTCACAGCATCTGAAGTGAACTTGTTTTCATGAAAGCCTGTGATCTCTCCCTCTCTCCCTCATTTTGGGCTAGTCTAAAAAGGTGCTTATCGGCCCTGCCTTCCAATTTAGGTCTTATCCACGGTTGCTGGGAGCTCTTGCAGGCATGCAGTTGCTACAGAGAGGATAGCGGGTGCCACGTCCAGTCACTGATGGCATCTGCTGGGGATCCCACTAGCCCGTCCTGATGCTCAGTTCCAGCAGAGCTGCACCTGCCCCAAGGCCGGGGGGATTGTCCGCAGGCAGCGCCCCCCCACTCTGGCTGCTCCAAAGGCCCGGCCAGGGATCCAGATGGGGTGGCCACCAACGCTCCTAGATGCCCTGTCCCCTGCTGCCCCTTCTGCCCACTGCATGGACGCCGCTGCCCGGAAGGCAGCCCCAGACCAGGTGCTGGGGCAGCATCCTACAAGCCACCCCCCTGCAGATGGGACAGGAGGTGGGAGTTAGCCCAGTGTGCCTGGGCAGGGGTGGGGGGCTCAGGGGAGCACTGCCTCTGGACCAGAGGGAAGGCGACCCGGGCTGGCAAGGCCTGTGGGTTGTGCAGGTACAGGGCACAGAGGAAACAGGGGTGAGTCTCCCCCACTTCACACGTGCAAGTGAACACAGAGATCCTCTCCCACTGAAGCAGCCCCACTGCCCGTTTGCTGGTGGCTCGGTGCAACCAGCCCTCCCCGCGTCTCCCGGTTCAGGGACCTCGCTGCATTTTCCCGAAGCTCCAACCTCTGTTTTCACGTTTCCCTCGTAGAGGGGTAGGTGCCAGAGCCAGGCTGGATGCGGCCAAGCCCAGCTCCCCCTTCCCTCCTCACTCAGGTCCTCCCCTAAGAGCCAACCACCACCCTGCAAACAACAAGCAAACTCCTTCTTTTACCTGGCTCTGGCTAATTACCTTCCTCCCCGCCCCCCTCACTTCCACGCCTGCTAACGAGCCCGTGAACCCAATCCTCCTCATTGCAACAGGTGCAGGGCTGAGATCTCTGCCCCAGCCGGGCCGCGAGAACCATCCCTACTTCGTAGTCGCGGTGTGACTCTGCACTGGGCCGGACCCCTCGGGGGGCCCTGCTGCTGCTGCTCACCCCTTTTCCATTCACCGCCCCCAGCGTAGCCCCCACCACTGCCGTGAGAGCAGCTGCACCAAGCACAGGCCCCGTCTGCATTGGGATGAGCCCGGATCGGCCGCCGTTGGGTCTAACCCGGTGCACGGAGCAGCCCAGGGTGGGTCTAGCTCTCTCCGTCTCATCCCGTGTGCAGGCGCAGACGCAGACGCAGACCCAGCGAGAGGTTAGGGGGACGAAGAGCCGTGAAGGAGGAGGAGGAGGAGGGGTGGGGGGAGAGTGGTGAAAGGCTGGAGAGAAGCAGGTGGCAGGTGGCTAGAGCGGCAGCAGGAAGGCGAGGGGGACCCTACCATCGTGCTCCTCGATATAGGGCTTGGGTTTCTTTCTCAATTTGGATTTCTTCTTACTGTTCCTGTCCAGGAGCTCTTTAATGTGCTGGGTCACTGGGGAGCAAACACAACGATGAGGACAACAGAACGCAACGCAAACGAGAGCATGGCGGCGCGGGAGCCCCGGGGGCCAAGCCAGCGGCACGCGCAGGGGCCAGCGACTGGCCTGCGTATGGGCACGGGAGGAGGAGACATGGCTTGTCGGGCATTCACTTTAACCTGGGCCAACACGATCCCAGCCAGGCCCCCCTCCAGCGCCTCGGGAAACCACCCCCTGGGATCCGCAGCCGTGGCAGGGGCCCGCGGCGGGGGCTGCGGGGG